TAGTGTATAGTAGTGTAGTGTGTAGTAGTGTAGTGTATAGTGCAGTGTATAGTGTAGTGTATAGTAGTGGAGTGCATAGTAGTGTAGTGTATAGTAGTGTAGTGTATAGTGTAGTGTATAGTAGTGTAGTGTATAGTGTAGTGTATAGTGTAGTGTATAGTAGTGTAGTGTATAGTAGTGTAGTGTATAGTAGTGGAGTGTATAGTAGTGTAGTGTATAGTGTAGTGTATAGTAGTGTAGTGTATAGTAGTGTAGTGTATAGTAGTGTAGTGTATAGTGTAGTGCATAGTGTAGTGTATAGTAGTGTAGTGTAAAGTAGTGTAGTGTATAGTAGTGTATAGTAGTGTTGTGTATAATAGTGTAGTGTATAGTAGTGTAGTGTATAGTGTAGTGCATAGTGTAGTGTATAGTGTAGTGTATAGTAGTGTAGTGTAAAGTAGTGTAGTGTATAGTAGTGTATAGTAGTGTTGTGTATAATAGTGTATAGTAGTGTAGTGTATAGTAGTGTTGTGTATAGTAGTATAGTGTATAGTAGTGTATAGTGTAGTGTATAGTGTAGTGTATAGTAGTGGAGTGCATAGTAGTGTAGTGTATAGTAGTGTAGTGTATAGTAGTGTAGTGTATAGTGTAGTGTATAGTGTAGTGTATAGTAGTGGAGTGCATAGTAGTGTAGTGTATAGTAGTGTAGTGTATAGTAGTGTAGTGTATAGTAGTGTAGTGTAAAGTAGTGTTGTGTATAGTAGTGTAGTGTATAGTGTAGTGTATAGTGTAGTGTATAGTGTAGTGTATAGTAGTGGAGTGCATAGTAGTGTAGTGTATAGTAGTGTAGTGTATAGTAGTGTATAGTGTATAGTAGTGTAGTGTATAGTAGTGTAGTGTATAGTAGTGTAGTGTATAGTAGTGTAGTGTATAGTAGTGTATAGTGTAGTGTATAGTAGTGTAGTGTATAGTAGTGGAGTGTATAGTAGTGGAGTGCATAGTAGTGTAGTGTATAGTGTAGTGTATAGTAGTGTAGTCTATAGTAGTGTAGTGTATAGTAGTGTAGTGTAAAGTAGTGTATAGTGTAGTGTATAGTAGTGGAGTGCATAGTAGTGTAGTGTATAGTGTAGTGTATAGTAGTGTAGTGTATAGTAGTGTAGTGTATAGTAGTGTAGTGTATAGTGTAGTGTATAGTAGTGTAGTGTCTAGTAGTGGAGTGTATAGTAGTGGAGTGCATAGTAGTGTAGTGTATAGTGTAGTGTATAGTAGTGTAGTCTATAGTAGTGTAGTGTATAGTAGTGTAGTGTATAGTAGTGTAGTGTATAGTAGTGTATAGTGTAGTGTATAGTGTAGTGTACAGTGTAGTGTATAGTGTAGTGTATAGTAGTGTAGTGTATAGTATAGTGTATAGTGTAGTATATAGTAGTGTAGTGTATAGTAGTGTAGTGTATAGTAGTGTAGTGTATAGTAGTGTAGTGTATAGTGTAGTGTATAGTGTAGCGTATAGTAGTGTAGTGTATAGTGGTGTAGTGTATAGTAGTGTAGTGTATAGTAGTGTAGTGTATAGTTGTGTAGTGAATAGTAGTGTAGTGTATAGTGTAGTGTATAGTAGTGTAGTGTGTAGTAGTGTAGTGTATAGTGTAGTGTATAGTGTAGTGTATAGTAGTGTAGTGTGTAGTAGTGTAGTGTATAGTGTAGTGTATAGTAGTGTAGTGTGTAGTAGTGTAGTGTATAGTGGCCTGGCACAAGCGTCGTGGTGACGTCACCGCCACTTAGTGGCGAATGGCGGTTGTTGTTGTTTAGTGTAGTGTATAGTAGTGTGTAGTAGTGGAGTGTTCAGGGGTCGTCTCGTGACGTCATCGAGCGCGAGACACCCCCCCCCCACCCCTCTTCCCCCCCACCCCTCTTCCCCCCCACCCCTCTTCCCCCCCACCCCTCTTCCCCCCCACCCCTCTTCCCCCCCCCCTCATTCTGAGCCCGTTTCGGGCTCGATGACGTCACGAGGCGACCCCTGAACCAGGAAGTGACGTCAGGGAGTCGACTCCGTGCGTCGCTGAGCAGAGGTGCTGATGGTGGTGGTGTTGTGGTGTTGTGGTGGTTGTAGTGTTGTGGTGGTAGTGTTGTGTTGTTGTGTTGTGGTGGTGTTGTGTTGTGGTGTTGTGTTGTGGTGGTGTGGTGGTGTTGTGGTGGTGTTGTGGTGTTGTGGTGGTTGTGTTGTGGTGGTTGTGTTGTGGTGGTGGTTGTTGTTGTGGTGGTGTTGTGTTGTTGTGGTGGTGGTGTTGTTGTTGTGGTGGTAGTGTTGTTGTGGTGTTGTTGTGTTGTGGTGGTGTTGTGGTGGTGTTGTTGTGGTGGTGGTGGTGTTGTGGTGGTAGTGTTGTTGTGGTGTTGTTGTTGTGGTGGTGTTGTGTTGTTGTGGTGGTGGTGTTGTTGTTGTGGTGGTGTTGTGGTGTTGTTGTGGTGGTGTTGTGGTGGTGTTGTTGTGGTGGTGTTGTTGTGGTGGTGTTGTGTTGTGGTGGTGTTGTGGTGGTGGTGTTGTGGTGGTAGTGTTGTTGTGGTAGGGTTGTTGTGGTGGTAGTGTTGTGGTGGTGGTGTTGTGGTGGTGTGTTGTGGTGGTGTTGTGGTGGTGTTGTTGTGGTGGTGGTGTTGTGGTGGTAGTGTTGTGGTGGTGTTGTTGTGGTGGTAGTGTTGTTGTTGTGGTGGTGTTGTTGTGGTGGTGGTGTTGTGGTGTTGTGTTGTTGTGGTGTTGTGGTGGTGTTGTTGTGGTGTTGTGGTGGTGTTGTGGTGGTGGTGTTGTGGTGGTGTTGTGGTGGTGGTGTTGGTAGTGATGGTAGTGTTGTGGTGGTAGTGTTGTGTTGTGGTGTTGGTGGTGTTGTGGTGGTGGTGTTGTGGTGGTGTTGTTGTGGTGGTGTTGTGGTGGTAGTGTTGTGGTGGTGGTGTTGTTGTTGTGGTGGTAGTGGTGGTGATGGTTGTTGTGGTGGTGTGGTGGTGGTGTTGTGGTGGTGTTGTGGTGGTTGTTGTGGTGTTGTTGTGGTCGTGTTGTTGTGGTGTTGTGTTGTTGTGGTTGTTGTGTTGTGGTTGTGTTGTGGTGGTAGTGGTGTGGTGGTGTTGTTGTTGTGGTGGTGGTTGTGTTGTGATGGTGTTGTGGTGGTGTTGTGGTTGTGTTGTTGTGGTGGTGTTGTGTTGTGGTGGTTGTTGTGGTGGTGTTGTGGTGGTTTTGTTGTTGTGGTAGTGTGGTGGTGGTTGTGTTGTGGTGTGTGGTGGTGGTTGTGTTGTGGTGGTGCTTGTGTTGTGGTAGGTTGTGTTGTGTGGTTGTGGTGGTGGTTGTGTTGTTGTGGTGGTGTTGTGGTGGTGGTGTTGTGGTGGTGGTTGTGTTGTTGTGGTGGTGTTGTGGTGGTGGTGTGGTGGTTGTGTTGTGGTGGTGTTGTGAAGGTGTTGTGGTGGTGGTTGTGTTGTGGTGGTAGGTTGTGTTGTTGTGGTGGTGTTGTGGTGGTTGTGTTGTTGTGGTGGTGTTGTGGTGGTGGTTTTGTTGTTGTGGTGGTGTTGTGGTGGTGGTGTGGTGGTTGTGGTTGTTGTTGTGGTTGTTGTGGTGGTGGTGTGGTGTTGTGGTTGTTGTGGTGGTGGTGTGGTGTTGTGGTTGTTGTGGTCGTAGTTGTGGTGTTGTTGTGGTGGTGTTGTGTTGGTGGTTATGTTGGCAGTTGTGGTTGTGTTGTGGTTGTGTTGTGGTGGTTGTGTTGGTAGTGGTGGTGGTGTTGTGGTGGTGGTTTTGTGGTGGTAGTTGTGTTGTGGTGGTTGTGTTGTGGTGGTGGTGGTTGTGGTGTTTTGGTGGTTGTGTTGTTGTTGTGGTGGTAGTGTTGTTGTGGTGGTGGTGTTGTTGTTGTGGTGGTAGTGTTGTTGTGGTGTTGTTGTGTTGTGGTGGTGTTGTTGTGGTGGTGTTGTTGTGGTGGTGGTGGTGTTGTGGTGGTAGTGTTGTTGTGGTGTTGTTGTTGTGGTGGTGTTGTGTTGTTGTGGTGGTGGTGTTGTTGTTGTGGTGGTGTTGTGTTGTGGTGTTGTAGTGGTGGTGTTGTGGTTGTGTTGTGGTGGTAGTGGTGTTGTGGTGGTTGTGTTGTGGTGGTGGTTGTGGTGGTCGTATGTGTTGTGGTGGTGTTGTGGTGGTAGTGGTGGTAGTGGTGGTTGTGTTGTGGTGGTGGTGTTTTGGTGGTAGTGGTGGTTGTGTTGTGGTGGTGGTGTTTTGGTGGTAGTTGTGGTGGTCGTAGATGTGGTGGTAGTGTTTGTGGTGGTCGTAGTTGGGGTGTTCGTAGTTGTTCTGGTTGTGGTGGTCGTGGTTGTGGTGGTGGTGGTTGGTGTGGTGGTTGTGGTGGTTGTTGTGGTCGTGGTTGTGGTGGTCGTGGTTTTGGTGGTTTTGGTGGTTGTGGTTGTGGCCGTGGTTGTGGTGGTCGTAGTCATGGTGGTGGTTGTAGCGGTTGTTTTGGTTGTGGTTTCAGTAAAGTCAAGTAGAAGGGAAACAATAAAATAATAAATTTTTAGTATTTTATTGTTTCCCTTCTACGTGACTTTACCAAACGAACCAAGAATATAATAATAATAAAATAGTTAATAATGAAAATTTATCAAAATCAGTTATAACAATTCTATTATCCCTGCAGTCACGAAAGCTTTAAATCAAAATAAAACAATTATATTGTTTATGTTTATTTAAAGTTGCGCATTTTGATGTGACGTCACATTCCTCAAACCCCTCCCCCCCTCGTCACACATCGTCACAAATGTCTGACCCCCCCCTACCCCCCTAGGTGTGTGACGTCATTTATGGACGGCTCCTTATGTTTGCTGATGATCTGGTGATTGCCACTCACTCGGAGGAGGAGTTGGAGGTGCTGCTGCTGAACCTGGAGCGTGCCACAAAGAGGTGGGGTCTTACCATCAGCCCCACCAAAACTAAGCACCTGCCTGGGTATTTTGTGTCATCAAAGACTCCACCCCCTCAGCTCCCCATTGGTGGTGTAGCAGTTGATGAGAGGTTGGAGAGTTTCCCATACCTGGACAGTGTCCTCATGTCCAGCACCGGTTTGACAGCAGAGGTCTCACTCTGAATCAGTCCGACAGCATTTGCATTTAATCGACTGCATAATTCTGCGTGGCAGCTACCTCGCCTGTCGCTCCACACGAAGCTTCAGGTCTTCTCGGATACAGTCATTGCCCTCCCTTGCAAAATGGTGAGCCCCCTCTAACTGAACATCTGCACCAGTTTGTAATATTCAGACTAGCCTGTCTACAATTTTGTTTTAATGTTTAGCTAAGTTTGATGTGTTTTTAGTGTTTTTACCATTTGATGTTGTTTTTACTGCTTTTATGATTTTATGTAAAGTGTCTTTGAGTATTCAGAAAAGCGCTCACAAATAAAATGTATTGTTATTACAATCCAGCTTGGGCTTAACCACACTGGTTTGTGTAAGTTGTTCAGGGATCATTGCAAGATCTGGACAAAGTCCCATCAGTGTGCCACAATGGTGAGATGTTAACTACATCGCCTGGTATACAGGAGGTCATAGGTTCAATCCGGACCCTGACATTTAGAAACATACTTTTAGATGATAAGCCACTTCGTTGAGCTATCATTTGTGGCCAGGTCATTTCTGAAAAAGAGACATATTGCTCAGTGTGATAAAAAATATTTAATCGTTTTAAAACAAAAATCCGTGAGCTCTCCTGGCAAGCGAGTCTGCATTGGCTGGGTTATGTCGCTCGCATTCCCAGCCACCGCATGGCTAAGTATCTGTTGGGCTGGGTCTTTCATTTAGTTTAGTTTCATTTATTAGGTATAACCCTGTGAGCCATGCGGCTCTTGACTCGGGTGCAGCTGCAACAAAACAAAAACATGAACAAGAAACATCTTAAAGTGACGACGCGCAACAGGAAAATCCTGGAAAAGACAGCAAAGTCTTCGAGAAAAAACACCGTATTTCAACGCTGTGTGCAAAAATCTCAGTGGGATGCAGGTCAAACAATAACAACCATAAGACAATGTAGATTAAAGTTATCAGGCTAGCTCTGTAACCACAACAAACAAACATGGCAAAACCAAAACTTTTTCAAAATCACCAAAATACAGCTATAAAAACAATGTTACAGTGATCATAAGAACTGTGATTGAAACTTAACAATAAACGATATACATAACATGTACGACCAAACTATGCAGCCATAGCTGGCTGCATGAGTCACTCCATAACAGCAGGAGCATCAGTAGCAGAATCAAAAATGTTCAATACACCTTTAAAGATCAGCACACTATAATCAAAACTCAAGATCATACTTTGTAGCAGTCATCCGGAGCGAAACATTTTATTTCAGGCCATTCTGAATAGCAGTGGCAGCTAGGGGCGTACAACTCCTCTAGAGCAGTTTTGAGTGACGATCTCACAGGTAGTGATCCAAGTTGCAGTTTATTGGCGATAGCATTCCAGACCCTGGGGGCATCAATGGAAAAGGCCCTTCCTCCAGTATTTGTACGGCAATAAGGAATGTGAAACTGGTGAATGAGCGAAGACCTTAGGTCACATTTGTTCTTCAAAACAGTGAGGAGATCCAGCAGGTAGTCTGCTGACTTTTTTGTAAGTACATCGTGAATAATACTACGTGTAGGTGTATAATCTGTGTATATTGTGTGTAATGTGTGCATCTCATGTCCCCTGGGTGTACTGTGTGTCAGTATGTAACGCGTGTGTATATTGTGTAAGGTGTATAATGTGTGTATATTGTGTGTAATTGTGCGTGTGTATATATTTGCTGCGTGTAATGTGTAGGTTGAATGACATGAAGCAGAGACTCAAGACAGCCCAGTGCTAGAAGGAACCAATGCGAGCAGTGTCCATACGACATGAGCCACACTGGACACATTAATTTGTACCACAAATCACACATGGCCAAGAAGGCCTTCAAGTGTACTGTATGCGAGAAGGTATTTCGACGTTCATCACAACTTAGAACTCACCAGAGACAGCACACAGGAGAGAAGCCCTTTGAGTGCACTGTCTGTGGTAAAGCGTTTACACGTTCAGCATCTCGTCACGCTCACCAGAAAACACACACAGGCGAGAAACCCTTCAAATGCACTGTGTGTGGAAAGGCATTTGCAGGTTCAGGAAATTTTATGACACATCAGAAAACACACTCAAGCGATAAGCCCTTCAAGTGCACTTTGTGTGAGAAGACATTTAAACGCTCATCACATCTCCAAATTCACCAGATAACACACACTGGCGCAAATCCCTTCAAGTGCACTGTGTGTGGTAAAGCGTTTACACGGTCAGGATCTCTTAACATTCACCAGAGAACACACACAGGCGAGAAGCCGTTCAAGTGCACTGTGTGTGGTAAAGCGTTTACACGCTCAGGATCTCTGAACAGTCACCAGAGAAAACACACAGGCGAGAAGCCCTTCAAGTGCACTGTGTGTGGTAAAGCATTTACACAGTCAAGATATCTTAAGAATCATCACCAGAGACGACACACAGGCGAGAAGCCCTTCAAGTGCACTGTGTGTGGGAAGTTATTCGCACGGTCAGTCGACCGAAATTGGCATGAGAAGATCCATGCGGAGGAGGTGGAATCGATCCCATCTCGCATGCAACAAGACCCAAAAGACAACCCGAGTTTAGCAACGTGGCCAGCAGTGAAGGTTCAACGGGAAGAAGTGAAGGGGGAATGTGAAGAGGTGAAGGTGAAATGTGAAAAGGTGAAGATGGAATGTGAAGAAGTGAAATGTGAAGATGAAGACTCAACTCCAGGCCCCGACCTCCAGGTGGATGGAGGCAGCATCAAGCAGGAGCAGCTTTCGGACTCTGAGGGAGGGCCAGGCGACCCCCATGAGGTTGTGGATGTGGAGGTGTGGGTGGAGTTTTTGGGGGAGGGATCGTGCAGTGGTTAGTGTGCCGCCTTACGAGCGTGCGGAACCCGAGTTTGATTCCCGTTCACGGTCGACATCGGTGACAATTATCTGAATTGGTCCTGGGTCAACTCAGCCTCAAATGAGTACCTGGTGTGGTGCCTAAACACCACTGGGGAGACAAAGGCGGACGGGCATGGTGCTGGCCACCCACCCCCCTCGTGTACCGTGCCGGCCTTCATCGGTGCTCGCTGCCACACTTCTGTTCAGGCTCTTAATGGGCAAATTTATCTTCGAAGTTTTTGGACAAAGCAGAGTAAGAGGGCCCAGCACGTTAGAAGTGGGGTCTGGAAAGGTCTGAAAGAATTCCCAATGAAGGTCACCTTATTTACAGGCATCTCTCATTACAACAATGCGTGCAGCTGTCGGCGTCGTCCACTCGGAGATTACCTTTCATTTAACGTAGCTACCCCAAAGCCTTGGGAACCACTTAAGAAGTTTCGTCTCTTGGAATCTCCATCCGGCCATCTTCTGTCCTCATTCAAACTGACTCCCTTATTAAAATCACCAACGTTTAGGTGTGAATGCTATTTTAAAACGTGGTTACTATTATTACATGTCTTTGTTTCTAATATATAATTGGGTGGAATGCTTTGATGTTACCTACTGGCCCGAGTCGCTCTTGAAACACATCTCTGCTCAATGGGCTTTGCACGGAAAATACACTTCTGGTTCTTCGGATTCTGTAAATCTGATGGCATTGAAAACATTATTTAGCATTACGAACAAATGATTACGCATCAACCGATTGTAAGTCTCGATGTAACAATTTGCGTGTATCAGGGTCACGTATAGAATATGGGATGTCTGAACAGATCGATTGTGTGTTATGAATATGAGCAATGCCCTTGTATTCATGTGACTGCGGAAGTTTGTACGACACGAACTGTCAGCTTAGAAGTGTTGGTGCCATCTTCCTCGCGAGAACAATTCGTAGTTTTCTTTAAAATAAGGAAGCTAATGGGACCTCTCTCGGCCTCGCTGTCCATTTCTCTGCACCACTTCGTCTAAGAACACAGAGCAAGGATAGGCATCAACACTCCGATGCGTTTAATTAAAAACGAAATGAAACTGGTGGATAAACAACAGATAAAATATATATTTAAAAAAAAACTTTTTTAAAACACGCTTTTATTAAATGTACTGAAAAGTAAGAAATAAATATTTTCTGTTCAAGTACTTTGCATTATTTATGTTTCATATACTCTTGTTGTAACTGACTCTAAATAAAAGCGTGGGGCGCCCGTACTATTTTTGAACAAATGTGTGTATTCACAATGGGAAGTAAGTGTTCATATCTTGTTAATATGTTACAATTTGAATGTCAATGTTTTAAGCCGTTTATTTTTGGGAATGTCTGCATTGAGAATGTAAAGTAACTGTTCATATGTAGTGAATATCTTAATATTGTAACGTACAACTTTTCACGCGTTGATGATTGTGAATATGTCTCGATTGACAATCGCAAGTAACTGGTGATATGTTGGTCATATGTTGTAATGTAAACGTGTAAGTTGTTAAGCCTTTTTTTACTTTTGTGAATGTCTGCATTTACAATAGAAAGTAACTGCTCATATGTTGTTTGTATATGTTCTAATGTAACGTTAAGTTTGTAAGCCCTTTATATCAGTGCATATGTAGTGTTCGATTTCACTCGGACAACTTCTGTCTTTCTTCGAACACCGCTTTATTTACAACTCTCAGCATGTCCTCCACATTCCACAGTATCCTGGTCGCCACGGCTCACTCGCCGTGCTCCACTCGACTCGCTCGCCGCCTTTGTCTCTCCACTCTCCACGATTACTTCGCTTACTCCGCACTCAGCGACTCCGCACTCAGCGACTCCGCACTGAGCGACTCCACCCTTCACCTCTTAACTCCAACTATGTCTTCCAAACTCTGTCTCTCAAACTCTGTCTTCCAAACTCTGTCTCTCAAACTCTGTCTTCCCTAAGCTCTCCAACGTCAACCCATCTCCAAGCTCTCCGCTCTTCGACCTCTCTCCAAGCTCTCCACCTTTCGACCCATCTCCAAGCTCAACTCCCTTCAACTCAACTACCCTCTGTTGACTCCGACCCCCGCTCTTATACCCGCTCTCATTACACCCCCGATTAATTAACCCGCGTCCCAACGGCGCTCCGCGTGACCGGCGCACCTGTTTCTCGCCAGACTTCCAGACGCCTCCCTAGCCCCGGCAACAGCACCAACCAATCACAGCCGTCCACGGCTCTCCCAGCTTAATTGCCCCAACATAACCTGCACTGTATTCGCCTTCGCTACAGGCTGACCCAAGATAACCCGTACTGTCTGTGTCATGTAATCACGCTGTTTCCACAACGCACCTTCGTACTCCACTACACATATATTTGTATTTGCAATAGAAAGTAACTGCTCATATGTTGGTTATATGTTTTAATTTAAACGTCAAATTTGTAGGTTGATGATTTATGTGCATATATCTGCATTGGCAATGGAAAATACCTGTCATATGTGAATGTTATCATTTGAAAGTTTAGTATTTCAGCCGTTTATTTTAGTGAATGTCTGCATTGGCAATGGAAAGTAACTGTCCATATGTTGTAAATATGTTGTAATTCTAACTGTGAGTTTGCATGGCGTTTTTGTTTGCTAATGTCAGATATGGCAATGGAAAGTAATTGGGCATATGTTGTTAATGTTGTAATTAAAGTGTTTTGTTTTAAAGCCGTTTATTCGTGTGAATGTGAGCATTAACAATGAAAATTAACTGGTCATATGTTGTTAATAGGTTGTAATCGAGACGTTAATTTTGTAAGCCGTATATATTTGTTAATGTCTGAATTGGCAATGTAAAGTAACTGCGCATATGTTATATTCTTGGTTCAAGAACCAAGAATATGAATCCCTGCAGTCACAAAAGCTTTAAATGTTCTAATTACAAGGTTAAGTTTTTAAGGCGGTTTGTTTAGTAAATATGCGTGGATTGACAATGGGAAGAAACTGCTTATATGTTGTAATTGTTACCGAAAGTTTTAAAGGTGTTAATATGAGCGCCCCACGCTTTTATTTATAGTCGGTTACAACAAAAGTATATGGAACGTATAAGGCAAAGGAAAGTAAAACCTTGGATTGCGAGTAACTTGGTCTGCGAGTGTTTTGCAAGACGAGCAAAATTTTTAAATAAATATTAATTTGATAAACGAGCGAGGGTCTTGCAATACGAGCAGTGTACGTGTATATGCTTTGTCTGCCGAGCGTCACGTGATCACAACTGATCTACGAGTGCTTTGATATACGAGTGCTTTGGATGACAAACACGTTTCCGGAACGAATTATGCTCGCAATCCTAAGGTTTTACTGTAAATCTCTTTTTCACAGATGTCCAATATGGGCACGGGGTAAGAACGTTACAACAACACAATACCAAAAACACGATATTAGCACACGGTAACATGAAGGTAAACAAATCACCCACACACATACAGATAAAACTAAGCCATCCCAATCCTACCAGGCAAAGCCCACCGATGTAAAAGCGACCTAGCTATCACAAATTATAGATCAAAAAAGTTGGGTATCACGTGGACAATTACAGCGGGCAAATCATCTAAATAATCTCAATGCATGTTTCTAAATGTCGAGGGGGGGGGGGGGGGGGTCACGGAGAACCTAGGATAGAGAGAGAGACACGCAAACTCCAAAAATACAGCAGCAGGCATGGTCGGGATCGAACCCACGACCTCCTGCATACCAGGCGAGGTAGTTAACATCACCTAGCCACCGTGGCATCTCTGAAATAAACAAATCAGGTATACAAGTTCAAATTGCATTTGTTCATCCATTCCCAAGCGTGGAAAAGGCAGTAAACAACAGAAACACTCCCCAGACCACACGAAGACAACACACATACTGTCCCTCAGTAACATTGTACAACACTAAAAGTGAAATTAAATGTTGATTTAAAGCTTTCGTGACTGCAGGGATTCATATTCTTGGTTCTTTCGGTAAAGTCACGTTGAAGGGAAACAATAAAATAATAAAAATATAAAACAATAAAATTCTCACGACGTTTTGACTGCAACACAAACAATCATCAGGTGTGAAACCCACGGCAAGAAAATTTGAAAAACGTGGCGGTTATTTTTTAACGTTAGCACCACGGAGAGCGATTTGTCAGTTTGTTCAGATGGACGAGTTTTTGTGCCAGTAAAAAAGGGTGAAACCTATTCCTATACTATGAAACCTCTGCTCAGAGACGCACGGAGTCGAGATGGCAATTCTCCTGCTGTGTATCCTACTGCTGTCCCTCCCGGCCATATCTAGTGCCACACTCAACTCTACAAACGGCTACCCTCGTTATTTTGCATCAATACTTGTTGCTCGATTTGCCAATACACCTGCAAATGAAACAGCTCATAGACACTTCTACACTCCATCATTGTATCATTTTAAACCCTATCTTTGTCCTATTACTTCACCAGCACTCCTTCCAAACTTCATTCTGCTCTTTAAAATAACACCATCTGCGAGCTGCTGCCATTCGTCCAAGGTTCGCCGCTCTTCATCCTTTCACAGAAAATACTTATGCAAACTGTTAATTCTACTTTGCTTATTTCTGGGTGGTATTGAGCTTCATCCTGGCCCAAATGAAAAGAGCTCGTATAATTCTGTAGATTTTTCTGGCAGGAAAGGTGTTGGTGTTCTACATGAAAACATCAGAGGGCTTGTGATTAAATTAAGTCAACTAAAACTAGAAGTGGCAAATCTTGACCCGGACATTTTTTGCCTAACAGAAACATTTCTCACTCCTGCTGTCAATGACTTGCAGATTACGATTGAAAACTACAACCTTTTTCGGCTTGACCGAGGATCTAAAGGAGGTGGAATTGTCATCTATGTTCGTAACACTATTGCATGTTCACCAGCTCACTCCTTGTTTAAAAAAATGTTGCTTTGAAGGTCTGGCTCTCAGAATAACTCTCCCAAATAATCAACAGATATTGGTAGTGTGCTGCTATAGACCGCCTTGTGGGAAGGATGTTGAAGCTGCA